CATTTGAACTGTTGATCGGGGTTCTTTGCCTGAGCCTAAAGACCGCTTTCGACTTCGCCCATATCTCGTCGTAGGATAGATGGACAGCAGTTTTACGATGTCTGATTGAGGACAACAGGCAACGCAGATGTTAGCACTCTATTACCTGCGCGTTCACCTATGCACGCCGTCATGTGGCATCGTCTGATCTCATCTGATTATCAGCCGACCAGCCGTCTTGTACATATTCCCATCCAGAGTGGTGATCCGTCCATACTGTTATGCACTCGTTCATGCCGGTATAGACTGAAATTAATACGCATTTCACTCCATGCCGGTAGACGCCGTATCTGCATTGTGATCCTGTCGAAACCGGTAATTCCGCGGTTTTGCTGGAATATTACTATACCTACCAATATAGTATAGCTTAGCATTGCTGCCTATATGCTTAAGTTTATGCCATAGCTCTAACGTAGGCCAAGGCTTAGGAAGTCATGTGGCAACAACCATGCATTACAATCTGGACTTTATAGCAAATTAATTTCAATCTATACCTTTATACGCTAGTACACGTCGGTATGGAGGGCTACATATACAGAAATACCTTTATTTAAACTCACTGGCAAAATATTACAAGGATTTAGCCAACACATTCCTAACTTTAAATTTTAGAGTTTCGTCTAACCACTCATTACGTAATTGCAAACTTTTCAGGTTGCAGAAGGCACCCTGGTTCTCACTTATCACTGTGGAGGAGAAATATTCATTGCTGATGTTCAACGGACTCATTTGCCACAAAACCATGCACTGGCTGATTCGGTCGACTGCAGATGCACTCGTTTGACTGAAACACTGCCCCCTCCAGAAAAGGGGCATATACATTTACATTTATATAAGGCTAAGCTAAGGATAATTTGTGGCAACGTATTTGTTCCTTCGCATAGATTCAAATGTGCAAAAGACAATGAACTTCTAGCAAAGTAGTTGAACTTGGGAATGATTTTCTCAGTAAACGTAGTAGAAGTAAGTACTATTGGACAAAATATTTTACATTAACCTGCCCAAAACGACAGATGTAAGCAGTCCTAATGGCGAAGCTGGTCAGACGAACCAAACAGGTGTAGGGTGACACCTCGTTGTTTATAATAACAGGTAAACAGAGTCATGAGAGTGTCAGGTTCGAATTATAGTTGAGGAAAACTCGAATTTGCTCCTGAAGGTGTAGACAGTTAAGTATCACAGTATAAGAAGGATGCAGTAGTCTATGCATTTAGCGGCCACAAATCTATAGATAATGCCTTTAAAAAATATGCTACGCTTGGTTGATGACAGAGATCAGTTTCGCACTATAAGCTGCGCTGAAGAGAGCTGCTTGAAATCGAAGAATTATACCAAAATAGGCATTCCAGTGATCATGCGCTTTCGTTTCTCTTTCTAAGAAATGACAGATTTCATTTAAGAAGAATCGAGAAATAATTTTTTTGGGTATTATTAGAATTTGTATCAGCGGCAATGCCAACCATGAGGTTCATAAACGGAAAACTGTTACTCAAGTTTTGCAAAAAACAATTTAAAATATACACCAGACAGGGGTGACTGTGTTTGAGCTACAGTATTGTTGGGAAGAGGCTGCGACATGCCAAGTGGTCAAAATTCACTTTCACCAACCGTTATGAATGATATATAAATGGAAGTGGAACATCTGGCTATCTGTCAAGTAGTCCTTATTTCATCTTCATGTCCACCGAAAATATTTATTTGGTCGCATGAATGGAATGATATTTAGCCTATGCAAGATTTCCGGCATCACAAGTATTTTGGGAATTTGTTCTACATGCATGGAATCAGTGACGCACTTGACCACATGCCTTGCAGCAATTGGATCTTAAGTGAATACCTCTCCTCCAAACGCTTGATTCGTTCAGAATGTGCATCATACTCTGAAAAGATCTCATTATGCTTGCTGGCTTCAGCGGAGAGAAATGGTGGCATCTGTCCATTCTCTATGTGGACTTCTGAGCAGAGTGTCCCAATTCTACGGAGATTCATCTCAAAACATAACATTCAATAAACTAGACAACTGCTGACGATCTAGCCGACTTTTAGGGATTCGCGACAAAATTTCGTAGTTATCAACATGGCCAAGACATAACAAAGTGGCATACTTTATCACGACATATTATCATGTATCACTGTAACGGCTTGGACACCAAGGCTAGATTCCGAGAAGGTCCTAGACCATTATTTAGCGGGAAAAGACTGTTTCTAACTGTTGACATTACGGTCTTCAGAAACTTATGTAAATGTCTGTAGTTATGTAACCACTGCAACCTGTGATTTTCTGTTTCTTTAGTTCATAGTGGTACCCATTCACGTACATCAGAAGGCCGAAGGGCGACTTAGCTGGCCAGAATACGCACCAATGGCCTTCCAACTGTAATATTGAGACTTTGACATTTCAAGCTGCTGGGTGAGCTGCCCGCCGTAGCCATAGGGAGCTCGTCGCTGCTCCAAAACCGGATGAAACTGTAATTTTTTTCATTATCCATGTTTTAGATCTTGAGGGGTCATTTCTTGAGACGACCAGTCCATATTCATCGAGTACCTGCTGTGTGAAATGCATAACATGTTTAATTAGCTACCAAACACCTTGTTTTTAATGATGATGCCCCAAAAACCAGCACTCTATATACGCGTTTGACATACAGCAAAAGTGTCTTCACACACGCTATGTTGCTAAACGCATAACTTCTCTAAAATCAAGTTTCAGGGGGTCGTCACAGCGTTCTTGCTGCCAAGTGCTTGCGGGACGAGGTTGGAGGGAGGGAGCGTTTTAGCTAGCTAGTTCAGCTATTCTACTTATTTTAACAGATGCAGTTTGCACTTCCATGCATCTGCCATCAACTAACCATAAGGACTCTCGAAGCAGTCAACGTTTTCATGAATTCTACTCCACTGAGGAATTCCGATGACATTTTTTGCCAGCATTAGCATCTTAGTACGGGCGCTTAGCAGGTTGAATTTGAACGGCGAGTTCAACATCGTTTTCTAGAGCCTAAGATCATCAACAACAACAAACATCTAACAAACATCAGCAGCTAAAACAAACTACTGGCATACAAAACAAAAGTTGCCGAAAGCCCTGCATCGCAAAGTCGTTGACCTAAGGCCTCACCGTCTTTCCGAGATGAGATATCGTAGCTAAACTTTATTAGCCCCACCACGCCCTTCTTCACTTCTGAAACGATCGATCGCTTCTGTACAGAAAACCGTAGACACGGCGCGTGCTGGAAGCCGCCTCGTCGGACATTACACCGCTGACAAAACGTTTTACTTCTTATCACGGTTCTAATCAGTAGCTTTCTTAGTAAATAATGAATGACTGTTCATCCGACAACCGCCATTCGCAAGTGAACCTGAAAATCACAACCGCCGCTTGTCAAGAATTAGGCTATCTGTGCAATCGATTCGAAGCAAATTAATTAGTAATCCCCGAGCTGTTCCGCTTTCGTGTTGATGAACGTTTCGTTCATAGCGTGCAGCAGAGCCGCATGTGTCACAGAGGCTATTTTGGCTCGTGGCCAACCTACCGAACCGATCGATTCGTGACAATGAAGAATTATTGTGATGAAAATATGATGCATATTTGATTCATCACACGTGACTTTCTCAAATCCAGCCTCAGCATTCCTGTGTCCGACAACAAGTGACCCACAAAGTGCGGGATCCTATGAAGGGACGA